CGCGGCAATTGCGGGGCGTGCACTGGGCTGCGAGAAGGGACCAGCTTCTGGCGGCGGAGGCTTTTCCGGCTGCTCTTCCAGGGAATACAATTGGGACGGGAGGGGGAGGAGTCTTCGCCCCGGAGGCGGAAGCGCCGGAACCCAGTAAATAAAAGGGGTCTCGGGATGGGATCTTCTTTTGCTGGTCCTGGTTAGTTAGGGGGTGTGTCAAGCAAAAGGGCGGCTCGCCGACGGTGGAGTTGTTGTGAAACCCAGAAGCTGGGGCAGGACGCGGAGGTGGTTTGAGGAGAGGAGGGAGAAATAGTGAGTCTGGCAAATAGGTCAGGACCCGCTTAGTGCAGAGGATCTGGAGGCCAGAATGAGGGGGCGGAAGTCGGGAGGAGGTTCTGGGTCCCCGCTCTCCTTTTTTCTCTTATCAAACCCAGAGGATCCTGTCTCCCGGCGGCGAGGCTGAGGATGCAGCAGAGAAAATGCCCTACGGAAAAGAGATAGGGGACTGTGGGCTTGCTAACCTTAAGAAAACGAAAGCAAAAAAAAAGAAAGAAAGAAAAGAAAACGAAAGCTTTGGAGTCTGGGAACAGGGTCCCTCCATGTCCCATTCTCTACCTCCCTCCATAAATTCCCTAAAAGGCCAAGAAGTCTAAGGTGAGGACCTCTGGCCGTGGCCTGAAGAGAAGGTAACCTTAAAGGTCTTGGAGAGTGGAAGGAAGATTAGTGGCTTTCATCGGTCAGCCTTTCACCCCCCACCCCCTTCCACTCCAGTCTCCGGCTTCTGTGTGAGGAGGAGGATCAGAAGACCATTTCACAGAGGCCAGTCCTAGAACGAAGCTATCACAAAGGAAAGCACAGATGAGACAGAGAGAGGTGTCAAAATTCAATGACATCTTTGATCTTGAAAGCCCTGAACTCTTAGCTTCTGCGCCAATAAAAGCTTCCCTTTTTTCTTAGGTGGATTTTTGTCACTTTCAACCAAAAGGTTCCTAACTAAAGCAGGCTTATCATGTATCAAGGCTCTGTCTTATTCTATCTCTGCCTACTTCTTCAACCTCATTGGCACCCCTACCCCCGGCTCCACACTTCAAATATGGGCAATGTCTTTAAGATCCTTGCACATTCTCTCCCTTCCGTCCTCTATACTTCACGGCCCTTTAAACATGTAGTTCACTTGGCTCTTTTGTTACCCATTTCCCCTCAACCTCCATGTACTTACCTTTGAACATCTGGCAGAAATGTCAGTTCCTTAAGGAAGCTATGCCTGACCAAGGACTAAATCAGATGACTTCCTATATGTTTCCAGAGGATGTCCAATGACTAAATGAACCAGTCTAAGGCTGTGATTCTCTCCTGCTAGACCATGAGCCAGCTCAGTGCCTGGCATACGGTGAGGGCTCAACAAATAGGGCTAGTACAGGACTGACACCCTTTACTGTGGAGAGGAACATTCCCCTCTAAAAGCTCAGTTCCTGGGCTCTGGCTGTGCAGAGCAGCGCAGCTGCCAGGCCAGCCCGCTTCTCGGAACAGGGCCAGCACGGAGCTCACCTTCCTCGCCATCAAGCCTGACGGTGTGCAGTGCGGCCTGATGGGCAGCAGCATCAAGTGCGAGAAGAAGGGGTTCCGCCTCGTCACCATGGATGTCCACCGGGGCTCTGAGGAACTCCTGAAACAGCACCACATTGACCTGAAAGACCACCCATTCTACCCTGGGCTGGTGACGTACATGAGCTCAGGGCCTGTGGTGACCATGGTCTGGGAGGGGCTGAATGTGGTGAAGACAGGGAGAGTGATGCTTGGGGAAGACCAATCCAGCAGATTCTAAGCCAGGCACCATTCACGGAGACTTTTGCATTCAAGTTGGCAGGAACATCATTCACTGCAGTGATTCAGTAAAAAGTGCCGAGAGAGAAATCAGCCTGTGGTTTAAGCCCAAAGAATTGGTGACTACACGTCTTGTGCATTTGGCTGGATCTATGAATAAGAGGTGGACAAAGCATCAGTCCCCTTTGGCTCTTCAGTCCATTGACTTGGGAGCAATAGGATCTATCCTTTTTCTAACACATATTTACTAATAAAGCCTTTGGAAACTGGGAAAATAAATAAAAGCTCAGGTCCTGGAATTGTGAAGGAAGAGCAGGACAAGTACCCGAAAAAGAAGGGCTGGAGAGAAGTGGGATGGCTGCAGGCTCCGTACTGCCCATGGAAGTGAGCCATAAACCTGCTCCACAGGCTCCAAGGCAAGTGCAGGCACGAACATGTAATACCATCTGAAGAATTTAGAAAATCTTGGAACCAAGGAAAGGATTGAAGAACAAAAACCTACAGAGAAGGAAAGGAATGTATGCCGTCACAGCATGTGGGGAAAGGGTCAAAGAAGGTCCACCTTCAACAATCAGACCATGTTTGTTTGGTATCTACTGCATAGGTGTTGAGATGCAGTGATCAAAAAGACCTAGTCCCAGCTTTGTTGCCACAGTTTGGTAACAAAGACTTATGACACAATACGGTGGCTGCTCAGTAAAGCTGTAAACAAGGTGCTATGGAAGCACAGAGGAGGGAGAGGTTAGTAATGTCTGAGTGCCTAGAGGGGATGAAGATAAAAACTGAGATTTGAAAGATGAGAAAGCCAGTAAGACCAGGGTGGCTTAATTTTGAATTCCTGAAAGAGAGGGACGGGGAGCTTGCATGTAGATAGAACTTAGGACTTTCCTCTTTTGGTGGGTGTGGGTGATTGAAGAGGGCTTCCTTTATGAGAATCTCTTTCTGGCCCAGCTGGTGTGGCTCAGTGGTTGAGCATCGACCCATGAATTAAGAGGACACAGTTCGATTCCCAATCAGGGCACATGCCTGGGTTGTGGGTTCAATCCCAGTAGGGGGAGTTCAGGAGGCAGCTGATCAATGATTCTTTCTCATCATTGATATTTCTATCTCCCTCTCCCTTCTTCTCTCTAAAATAAAAACCTATTTTAAAAAAGAACATCTCTTTCTGGAGTGCTTGCTTGTCTCTGGTTTGATAGACTAGAGGGACATTTGCTTTGTTGAAGCCCTTGGTTGCTACCTGAAGCTCCTTTAGGCCAGTCCAGGCAGTCTGCTCACCTTGGCCTTGACCTTATCGTTTCACATTCCCCAGCTTTTATGTGAAGATTAATTCCAGCCTGGCAGGAAGTGAATCCTCTCAGCACAACCACCCAGTGGCCAAGGAGAGCTGGAACATCCTCTCTCCCTCATTCTCCCCCCCACACTCCTTCCATCCCCACCAGGAAGCAAAGCAGCCAGAGAGAGGGGGCAGGTCCGAAACCATGCAGGGTGATGGGCAGATATAGAAGTATCAGCCCCGAGGCAAACCAGGGACCAGGCCACGTTTGGTGTGACACTCCCTCTGCCTCTGATGGTAAGGAACATTTTCTTTTAAAGGCATTATAAATCAACTGATCTGCACATTTATGTATACTTAGATATAACATACATCCAAAAAGTATATAAATTATCAATGTACAGCTAGGTAAATTTTCACACGAACACAGCCATATAATCCCCACCCAGACTTTTAAAAACTAGAACACTATTAATATCCAGAAGTCCCTCATTATGTCCTTTCCCCCCACACACACACACCCCCGTAATTATTCTCTCCTCTTCAAAAGTAACATCATGGGGGCAGGGAGGAATGGGGAGTGACTGCTCAGTGGGTACTGTTAAAGTTCTGGAACTGATAGAGGTCATGGTTACACAACATTGTGACTCTAATGAATGCCACTGAATTGTACACTTTAAAATGGTTAAAATGGTAAATTTTATGTTATGTGTATTTTCCCACAATTAAGAAAACATGCCTAGCCCTAACCGGTTTGGCTCAGTGGATAGAGCATCGGCCTGCGGACTGGGGGGTCCCAGGTTCGATTCTGGTCAGGGGCATGTACCTTGGTTGCGGGCACGTCCCCAGTGGGGGGTGTGCAGGAGGCAGCTGATCGGTGTTTCTCTCATCGATGTTTCTAACTCTCTATCCCTCTCACTTCCTCTCTGTAAAAAAGTCAATGAAATATATTTTTTTAAAAAAAGAAAACATGCCTTAAAATAAAAGTGACCGCTATTGACTTCTAAGAGCACAAATCAACTTTGCCTGCTGAATTTCATATAAATGGGATCATGATCTTTTGTGTTTTGAACATTATGCTAATGAGAATCATTGACATTGTTGAATGTAGTTGTAGTTTATTCATCTCATTGCTATAGAATATGCCATTGTATGGATATACCATCACTTATTTGGGTTACTATTTTGTTTTGTTATTTTTTGATTTTGAGAGAGAATAAGGGAGAGAAAGAGAAACAGTGATTTGTTGTTCTACTTATTTATGCATTCATTGGTTAATTCTTGTCAGAACCTGACCGGGGATCGAACCCACATCTTGGCTTAGCAGGACAATGCCCTAACCCACTGAGCGACCTGGCCAGGGCAATTGTTTCCTATTTTGGACTATTAAACATATTTCTATGAACATTCTTGTTCATGTTCTTGGTGTACAAATATATGCGTTCCTGCTTGGTACATAACTAAGTTGTGTACATCTGAATTTATTTTTTAAAGGAATATGCTATGATACAGTTTTGTAACCTTCCTTTTTCATTTACTATTTCTCAAACATTTCTTTATGCCAATAAGCATTCTTTGACGGCTTTTTTTTTTCTTTGGTGACTTTTTAAATTGTTACAAAGTGTAGGTATGTAGGTACATTTTTGCATGTCTTTAATAATTTCCAAGTGAAATTGCTGGGCCAAAGGTTTTAAAGTTTTTTGATTATTTATTATTTATTGCTAAATACTTACCTTATTCCACCTCCAAAGAATTAATACTATCAGGGTTACCCAGGGCCTCAGCCTAAATCACCGATGGCCAACATCTCTACAATCTTGCCTATGTTGAG